CGCCCCGCCCGCCCCCCCCCCCCCCCACCCCACCCGCCCGTCAACACTCACCACGTCACTCATTCCCACATTTATTACCGGGATAATTACAATTTTTCTATCTATTTAAAGTACTTTGTAGGAGAATATGCATTAAATTCTCTTCAAATTTATGTTTAATGAAATCGTTTTAATATTTTAACCCACGAAGCTTTAGTGTCTTATGAGCATTTTTAATTGCATATGAGAGATATAATATTAAATGACATACGTTAAAAATATATTGTAATTGAAATATGTATTTTTAATGAAATTATTATAGATCTTCTATTTCATGCAATAAGATGATGAAAATCTTTTAATCGAAAGCGGTTTTAGAATTATAATTGTAACATTAAATCCAATATTTTTGATGTTTTAAGAAACTCAATGGTTTGTCGGATTACAAAGTATTACAGTTTGCATATAAATAGACCTTACATTTTGAGATTTACAATATCCACATAATTTAACAATACACAATTTAATCCAATGATTTATATTACAGATTGTAAAAATAAATTATTAAAAAATAATGCACTAAGTTCGCCTTCCAAATTCTATTTTTATAAAAATAATCTTGCATAGTATGATATTGAAACCAAGTCCATAATTGTGAAATACCTAATTTCATATAATTCATATAGAACTCATTTTATTATATTATGTTATTATTTCTCATATAATTCATTTTCTTATATTATGTTGTTACAACATTAGTGCAAGCCTTTCTTTTAAATCAGTGTGATTATTTATTATTGTTCACAATTCTTTAAATACAATTACATTAAAAATCTTATCTTGTGAGCATTAGAGTTACATGCTATACTCCGTGTAAGTTTATTTGATTGTACTTTGTATATTATGCAGTCATCATATCTTAAAACATAGATAAAATTAAAGTAAACCAATTGTAAACGTATTATTTATACGGATATTCCGATGAAATAATAAATTTATGAATAATATGAATAAAAATTGTCGTCATTACCATTTTTCATTCAAAATTCATTGACATTTCGAAATATGTCTTTTCTTTCTTCGTTATTTACCTTTATTGATAATATAGGTAGATAAACAATAGACACAACTTTAAACAACATATTTTCCGAGATACGTAGCCATTAAAGAAACGGCACGAAGTATCAGGTACAGTGAGTAGTAAAAAAAAAAAAACAACTACTATTCAAAGGGAAAATAATATTAATTTCCTAGGAAACTATTATCAACAAGTAGGAAGATGAGTCACGTTAGTCCATTCTTTAGACGCTAACGTGCGCCGAGAGTATTATCGAGAGTCTGGAGGCTGGAGTAACGCGGCGGTGGGAGCTCAGGTTGTGCGATGAAACGGATTAACGCAGAAAACGCGGGGTAAACTGACCTCCGTAGCTGCGTATCAACTGGTCGCGGTCGTCCTGGTCGTTGACATCGGTGCTCTCTTTGCTGTCGTTGAAGCTCGAGTTGTTCTGGTCGTGGTTCCTCGGTGGCGGCGGCGGTGGTTCGGGCGAGTTGGAGACCGGGAGGTTACGCAGGGAGCCGACGGAACGTCTTCCGACGGAACCACGAGACCCGTAATGATCGTAGGGCGCCCCGTATTGGCCGTACTGGGAGCCGTACTGATCCTCCTCGGGCGCGCAATTGGCCGGGTCGTCGTATTCGGGGGTAAAGATGTTGGTGTTACCGCCGGTGCTACCGCCCTGGGATGGCACTCGCGAATAGCGGCCGCCATTCTGCCTCGGCTTTGCACAAATGTAATATTTAGAGCCAGGAGGTCGGGAAGTTGGTTCAGCGCGTGCTCAAGTAGCGCCCGTCACGAAAGAAATATCCATTCTAATCGAGATTGATTATGAGGGATTGCCAGCGAGGAACAATTGAAACGTCGCGATAACCAATACGTGACTTCGCACTTTTCCGCCCTTTACTTTCTCCATTGGCGTTCGCAAATGACGACTTTTCGCCTCGGCTCGCGCTCCCGCGCTTTCACTCGCTCCACTCGGCAGTTTGCCTTCGTTTAAACAGTCCCTTTTGAGCTTCGCGATGGCTCGCGATAAAACAACGTCATCAATTTTGCCATTGAATTAATCCCTTGACTACACCCTAGCGCGTCCATGAAAAAGCTCTTTGAAGGCACCGAAGTAGAGTTGAAAAAAGTAAGGGACGAAGAAGAAAAAAACTAGTCGATATGACAATTAAAGTCTCTCGTGTAAAGGAGAGCTTTCCATTTTTATGCCCGAGGCAATGTTTAAATTTTGAATGAACTCCTTTGCGGACGCGTTGAAACGACGTCGATGTCGCGTTAGGAAGCAAAAATAGCAGCAGTCGTACGTGTCGGATTTTTACTTCGCTTGGCTCCATTCTCATTACCACGACGAGCTTTTACTTACCATGGACTGGGATCCCGATCTACTGTGGGCCGATGAATTAGTTGGGTGACCTACTGCAGGTCCCATCGTGCCGGAGTGCCCATTACCTGGATGAGGGAAAGTTTGGAACTGCATCGCCTTGCTCGGGTCCATTTCCTCGCGGAAGCCCAGTAAGTGGAACGTTGCATACGGGCAGATTTCGTCTTCCATGCCTATTTTAGTATCAAATGCAACGATCGTCATCGTTAGTGAATAATGGCTGTTAAGCCCCATTTTGTAAGCCAGTCATTTATTAGTAACGTGTTACTCTTACGTTAATTGCCATTATTTCAATTATTACTATTCCCGTGTCTTTATCGAGTTTCAGATAATTTACCTATTTATTCGTTAAAAAAACTCGAAATATCGAAAGTCTTTCGTTATTATTTTTTTAGTAGTAGTAGACTGTGTTAGTGATGTGTGTTAGTGATAGTATGTGACTGTAAAATAGAGCGGCAAATAGTACTTTGGTAATTTCTTTTACATTTCTACATTTTTAAACAAAGACGAATGCTCCAAACTTTTATAACGAAATTGCTAGATGGTAGTAAAGTTAATAGAATAACAAAGCAAAAAAAAGAAAAAAAATTAAAAAATAAAATAAATAAATAAATCAACAAATAAAAGAGAACGAAATATTTAAATGGCTTTTATAATTCGTGCAATACAATCGAGCTATAAATAATTTTAAATGTGCAACTAGACATTAATCACACGTACCGCCGTATACTTTTCGAGTGCAAAATATAAAAATCAGTATCACGATAGAGAATGACCAGAGTCTATTTTAGAATGCACAAGATGTATATACAAATTAATAATTGCAAAATACTAAATTGCAACGCATAAGAACGCAACGAATTTTATAATGTAAAAATAGCGTTTACTCGTCGTAGCAAAGCGATACTCTGGCAGAACTTTTACATCTTGAAACAAGTAATTTGATAAAACAGCTTGAATTAAAGAGACGAGAGCGATAGTGAGATTAAAGGGCACGAATAGCGTGCCGCACTGCGTGGTCAGGCTGTTTTAAAAAATTATAATTCCAGGGCAATACGCCTGACAAATAAAAGACATGCATTCGTGCAAACATCGAGAGCGATTTGTTTTCTGATATGGTCTAGAGAACTTACGAATACTCGAAGTGATCGCACCACATCCCACAAGACTCTCTTTGATTCGCTCGCTCTGTGCGTACGGGAAGGTAAGAAGTAGAGAGGGGAGGGGGTTATTGATAGAGGCGACGTAGCTCGCTACTTACTTCCCGCTACGAATACTTTATCGCGAGTCGATATCTTTCATCCAATAATAAAAATAACCAATAATTTCGTATATAATATAGCAAGGCGATTATTATTTCATTAACCGGTCTTCCCTCGTACACGGTTTCTTACGGCAATGGAGTCGAAAATAATCTCCTTTTCGGACAATTGCCAAATATTGTCGGCAATTTAGAAGACCAATATGAATGTTGTCATTTATAAGTACAGAAGCATTTGCTAAAAAATACCGACGAAGCACCGTAAGATTAATATATTCGTAATACTACATAAAAACACTTTATAAGCCGCTGTATAAGCATTCATTAATAAGCGATTTAGTTTTATCAAGCCAGTTTGTCTGCCGGGATTGATGGGTTTGAGCGCAAGGCAGGTCCCGCGAAAGGCCCAAAAGTCGGGCCTTTATCCGCCTCTCTCGATCCCTCTCTACTTAATGTTCGTACAAACCTCGATGTGCCAGTTGATCGCTGCTGCCGTGTGGCGGTGGTGGGGGGCACCTCCTGTTGGGCGCATAATGACTCAACTCCTCGTACATGTGTCGTCGGGGATCCCAAGTGGCATGGTGGCTCCTTACCGAGCCGTTCCTACCTGTTAAACACAAGCTACAACGATCGTTCTACAGCGCTGTCGCCTACCAAGATCATCATCGCCGCTTATAACCGATTTGTCACCTGGTACGGCCAGCATATCTCCTCGGTAAATGAGAATAGACAAAGCGGCTTCGAGAACGGTGGTGCGCATACCATTTACTCGTTTTCAATTCTTTTTTTGCTTTTGGCTTCAATATGTGTGTGTGTGTGTGTGTGTGTGTGTGTGTGTGCGCGCGCGCGCGCGCGGGCGCTACCACCTTTCAAGGCACTTTGTTTATTTTCACGAAACTAATAGCAAAGCGACTCAACATTATTAAATGCCTATTGATTTTTAGTGTATTGTCGAATGGTACAAGTGACAGTGATCGACGATTGGATGACATGAATGATTTATGTTTGCGATGATTTACGGTACGTAAAATTGAGACACTAACGCATGCTGTATGTACATAATACACGATGGCATTCGGTAAATACAAATATTCTTAACGATTTACTAGATATCCGTCAGCTCGAAAACGATGTGTCCTGTCTATTACAGAAGCTGTATGTACTTTGATATAAAAAATAAATATGAACAATTTGGGCAAAGACAAACATTTGCACGGATGTTAATTATAAATCAATTGCCACAAGTCATTTTAATGTCTCGATATTGTCGCAATGAACGAACGAAGAAAGTGGCAATTTGAAGATTGGGAAGAAATAAATATTTTCAGAGCTGCAAGAGAATTTTAAACTGGGCTAGTTTCAGTGCGCGCTAACGTTGACTTTGCATTAAGGAGAAAAACTATAATCATGCCGATACAAAGTATCTTACGTACGCTCAAAACCTGCAATTTTCCCGAATAATATGAGACTCGACTTACTTATGACTGTTCCTCGTTTAATGCGATCGCATGTATTATAATTGGATCCCGGCACTGGTGGCAGTTTACGATTTGGTGGCGCAATGTACCCTAATTCATCCCGTAAATCAGGTCTTCTCTTATCCAATGTAGCGCCAACCACTCCGGTCTGTTGGTAAACTACATCGTCTGTAATAAATAATTCAATTGAACAAATAGTATCTTGCTTTTTATAGACATAAAATAACGAACGATACATTTTTATTATTACTTATATAATTATTTATACACACTCGCACACACGCACACGCACACGCACACGCACACGCACTCACTCACTCACTCACGCATAAATAATCATATAAATAATTGTAATTACGTTGCGTATAATTAGAAATAAAATACTTTATGATCCTTTTTCATATTCATATAATTATAAATCTTTTATAATATAAATGGCGTATTAGGGAGTAAGCAGATTCGTTTGAGTTTTCTCTTGCGATTCTTCATAAGTTCGAACAACTTTTTGAAATTGAAACGAGTAGTTTTTAAAAGCGATATATTGAGATATATCGAAGAGAAAAAAAATCAATGTATTAACCGCCAAGACAAAATTGTAATGAACAAAATCCTAAATGGAGAAAATTAAATTTTTTTTGTTACATTGGCCTTCGTAATATTTTTCATCGGATGACGAAATCCCACGGAGTCTTGTTTGCTCGGGTCCTCGAGTTCTTCTCGATAAAGCCACACAAATTACGACAATTCCGACGATGATAACGACAATCGTCGCTCCAACCGGTACAATGACGTTGATATCAAACCATACGGGAAGCCAGGGGAAAAATCTTCTCACATCTCCGTCTTCCCCTAAATCCTTCTCGGAATCTCCCGTGCCGCCGCTCAAAATTGGCGGTGCGATCGTGCCTATGAGAAGCGACGGGG